CCCTGGCTCTCCGGGCCCTGCCAAAGGGGACTTGCCCTCGGGTGCGACATGCTGGCCCGGGGAGCAAATATGTAATAGGGGCCCTTTGGTCTAGCCCCCGGCTTCTCAGGCTGCACTGCCATGTGACCCCGCGACAGCCCCTGCCCGTGGGGGGCGGGGACAGAGCCAAAGCCCGAGTCTCGCCGCCCTGGGGGGCTTCAGCCCCACGCGTCGCACCCCGGCCCCCCTCTCAAAGGGATGGCGACCTGCTTTGGGGGCCTGGCCCGCCCGACCCGGGGCTGAGCCCGCAGTGGGGCCGGTCAGGCCGGAGAGTGGCTGTCGGAGGATGGCTGGGTTTGGACCAGCGGCTGATGCAGGCTGGGTGCTTCTCTGGGAGGTGGGGTCCAGCCTGGGCTGTCCAGGAGGCCAGAGGAGATCACAGACACTTGTTCTCGCTTGGGATCGATGAATCCCTGTGTGTGCCGATGAACCAGCAAGCGGAGCCCCGTTTCCGCCTGGGCCAGGGTGCCCGGGAGCTGGACTCAGGCTCTTGAACACAGGGCCTGGCCGCAGGCGCACTGAATGCAGAGCTCACCTGAGCTCTCGGCTCCCCGCCCTGAGCCCAGGGCCCTGCTGCGGCTAGTGAGAGCGTGGAGCCGGCAAAGCGGGGATGTGCGTGTGTGCGTGCACGCACGGGGGGGTAGGTTGCAGTGTTGAATTGTTCCAGGCACTGCACAGGGCGACCTAGCCAAAGCCCAGCAAGGGCGGGGTTGCTGCCGGTTCTGCGCTCAGACGGTCCTTGCGGCGTGCTCAGGAAGGGGCTGGAGAGCGCGGATCTGTGGGGGGAGCACAGCCCGAGACTTGGCCACTAAGCTAATGCATCTGGGCCAGTCAAACCCGCCCGTTGGGCAGGGAGGAGGCGGGAGCCGCACAGCCAGAGGGCTGGCCAGGACCTTGCCGCGGGACGGCCGTGCACTAGCAAATGGGCCGTATGATTTCCAGGCTGAACAGACTTTCCCAGTCCCTGGCCACGTCCGGCTCTGAGCTCCCTCCCTGGGCTCGCGAGAGACGGAAAGAGCCAGACGGTAGCTTGGCGCAGAGGAGACTGACAGGCGGAGGTGGGCCCAGGCTACAACTGGCAGCCGAGGACCTCGGGGGTGGAAAGAGCAGCAGCAACTAACAGCGCCCCCTCCCTGGGCTCGCGAGAGACGGAAAGAGCCAGACGGTAGCTTGGCGCAGAGGAGACTGACAGGCGGAGGTGGGCCCAGGCTACAACTGGCAGCCGAGGACCTCGGGGGTGGAAAGAGCAGCAGCAACTAACAGGGAATGTCCCTGCTATTCAGCCTGGCCTCTC